AGATAAGCCATCAGAAAGGAATGACATGAACCAAGAGTTCAAAAGTGGATATAGTTTTAGCCGCTAGCATGTTCTTTTTACATTTCTTGATCAGCACCCTCTGGAAGCCTCTGAAGCGTAGTGAAGATGCAGGCGCGGCGGCTCTTCTCAAGGCCCTCCGGGGCTGAGGCAGCCATGCCCGGCGCTGCCACCAGCGCTGCAGCTTCCTGCACCGTGAGGCTGGGCAGCCTGGCCACGGGAGCTTGGCCCGCGTGCCTGCGCAGCCCGCGGAGCTGTTTCCATGGCCGGGGAGTCGGCACCGCCCAGCCCAAACCGTGCTCCTCATCCCGAACGTGACGAGAGCCGGAAATCAGCTGAGCTCTCAGCCGCCGCCGAGGTGCAGAGGTGTCCTGACGGTACCTGCCCTGGCAGTTCAGAAGTTTCCCATCACCAGCTGGGGTCAATCCATGAGCCCAACGACCCCAACACCTCGCCTCCTCCCATCTCCCATGGCGCCTGCAGTCATAACTGCAGGCACAGGGCCTGCGCGGCCTGCACTGGAGCACCGCCACCTCTGAGATGGGGGCGGGAGCGCCCTTCGGCCCCCTCCGGGGAGCCTGCGTGGGGGTGCGGTGCTGCACGAGCGGATTGCACTCCCGCGGGGAGGCCTGTCCCTGACCGGAGGAATCTTGCCGGCTCAGGACGTGGGGCCGCTGCTGCGCTTGCCCACCTGGTCCTGGCCCATCACCCCGCCTGCCACTGAGCCAAGCTCTGGTGCTTTACAGATGCCTTGCGGAGGTGATTGATACAAGACTTGTCTAGAAAACATTCCAGTGTGCTTTGATAAATGCTGATATTTCCTAATAAAGAATAAAAGGCAGAATGACGTGTTATAATTGTCCAAAGACCTCAAGATTAGCACTCCTCAAAATTACCAGCAATTTAAAAATCACTGGTTCAGTTTGGCTATTGGACAGTGAGGTGTGCAGAATTCTGACTTTTCCCAATAAATGATGGGAATTCAGGTGAAGTCCAAAATGATAAAACCATGGAATGGTAGAGCTGGAAGGGGCCAGAGGACCACAGGGTCCAATCCCCTGCTCACGTAGAGCTGTCAGTGAAACCACCCCTCGCAGATTAGTCTTGAGATTTCCAAAATGGACCACCCCCCAGTGCGACTCACATGCCCCCGCGGGCCTCATGCCTGAGGTGAGGAAGCCTGCAAGGCGCCCCTCTGCAGGAAAGCAAAAACGGGGCTGCCCCCTTGGGCAGCCGCCTGTCACCCCAGGAGAAGGCACGGTCAGTTTTCTCACGATTTGCATGCCAGCTCGCGTGCAAACTAACTCAGGATAAAGTTACACTTAAACAGCCAGGCTTTGCATACAAGCGGACCTGCATACTCCAACCCCACGCCGCCCCCCGCCCCGCCACGCACCCCCGCGCTCTGCACATGGACGCGCGGCTAAGGAGCGCTTTTGCCAGCTCGCCCGCCCGCATGCACGCCCGCACGCCCGCACGCCCGCACGCCGGGGGAGCGAGTGGAAAGAAGCCCCGCGCTCGGGCCGGCGCTGTCCAAGCGCAGAAGCCGCGCCGCGCCGCCGGGCGGACTCACCCGCAGGTAGCACAGGCCGACGAGGGTCAGGCACGCCAGCAGCAGCACCCACTGGGCGGCGGCGGAGCAGAACAGCAGCGGCACCGGCCGGGCGCGCGCGCCCCCCGGGCCCCCCCGCGGGCGCTGCTCCATCGGCCGCCGTGCCGGGCGCGCGTGCACCAGGGGCCGCCGCCGCTGCTGCCGCCGCCGCGCAGAGCGATGCGCCCCTGCGGCCCCTGAGGTCCGGGGACAGGTGCTCGGTGCGGCCCGGAGGACGTCCGGCGCTTTATATGCAGACAGAGGTGGGGGACTTCTTTCTGACTAATCTGAAATTTCCCTTCGTTCTCCCTTTCTCTCCCTCCCTCCCTCTTTCTCTGTGGGTGATTGTGGTGGCTGATATTTAAGATGCTTCATTTCTGAATCAAGGCAGATACACGATCCCTGAAGTCGTTCTTGTTCGCTGTCAACAAAAAAGCCGCAGCTGCCTTTAGGAACTTTCTCCTCCCTGGCGAAATTCCCCTTGATGTGAAGGCGAGTTTCAGAGAACTGCCATACCTTGAAGCTGATGTTAAGAGAATACGCATTTCCAGCAATACCCTGCAGATGGGATGCCAGAAGGGCCAGGGCAAGCGAGAGTCTTGGGATCCAGCCCTCCACACGCCCACCAGGACCGGTTTCTTTGTGAACGAACGGGCCATGTGCTGCACGGAGGGTACCGTGTGCGGATGCTGAGGGAGCCTGTGCCCCGCGTCCACGGCACTGCCCACCTCTGCACAGCCCGAGACCACCGCTCCATGCTCATCGTTATTATTGGGGCAACTACAATCGCACCTATAACTACATGGAGTTTCACTGCAACGAAAGCATGGCCAGATATGGACCACTTCTACCCAGACCTTGGTACAAGGTCAATAAAAATCAATGACTTTTCAATCATTTTTAAAACTGTGAATCTGATGTTTAAATGTAAGCTACAAAAAATAAAATGCAATCTAAATTTCTCTCTTAAAAAGAAACATACTTAAATTTCAACATAGACATGCTTAAACCTACAGTCTGGTAAAAGCATAATGACATACGAACTAAACATAGGCATCCTTTCTTGAAAAAGCTTTGTCCAGCCTATTAGCCTAAATATGCATTTAAATAATAAATATTGGTGTGCTTATTGCATTTCTAGTCTGCCTGATGATCGATGATCTCTGGCTGGACGGCAGCGCTCTGGCCAGGGCGGGCTCTGCGAGGCCGAGGCCGAGCAGCGTGCGCACCGTCGCCATTGCGGGGCCTGTTTTCCGGCCAGGGCTGGGCCAGGAGGGCAGGGCAGGGCAGGGCAGGGCAGGGCAGGGCAGGGCGCGCACAGAAACGGGCGTTCCAGTGGAAGGGGGGGTTCTTTCAGCCACTTCAAACCTTGACCCGACCTGTTGGTCATGGGCACCAGCTTTCCTCCTACTGCTTTGCCGCCACTGTTTTCTGTTTGCTTGGCTTTGCTTCTTGCGAGGCAAGCGCATGCGGAGCCAAGCGGAAAGGGTCGCTGCCGGAGGGAAATCGAGGGGGCCAAATGCCCAGGGGCCCCTTCCTGCATTCCCATTCGAAGAGCACGACCACATACCCCCTAGCCTGCAAGTCAGTCCCACTGAATTCTGGGAATTTTCACTGTACCTTGTCATGGATTCCAGTCCTAAGAAAGACCCTGTGGAAGTATTACAAAAACATTCTCTCTACTGATATAAAGGGAAGCATTTTATCAGAGCATGCAGTGAAAGAAAGAACTGCAAAGGTTGCTTGTAAGAATGGAGCAGTGTACGTACACAAGGTGCAATTCATTGTAAGCTAGCAAGGCTGCAGTGGTCAATTTTGCATCATGGCTCAGGAACCCGATCGATCGATCGATCGATCGAGCTATCGTATTTGTATGCTGCCCCATAGCCAGAGCCTTTCTGAGTGGCTCACAGTGCAATATATTTAATTGGAAATGTGACTTCCATCAACTTTTTGTCCTGCTGATTTAAAGCACCGAGTTAAATCTGCACAATCGATTTCAGTCAGTCCGCCCTGAACGCATCATTCCTGTGCGGCAGGGAGGGGATCAGAGCCCTGGGGGCTGCATTCTGTTTCCAGCCTGAGGTTCGGGATCTGAAGACACTGACTGGAGGGTTGCAGGATCACACTCCATTTTTTAAAAGACCACATACTGCAGATTCCCATACTGAAGCATTGTTCTGTCTCTGTGGGTTTAAAAACATATGTTCCGGGGTCTATTTCCGAAGGCTCAAGCAGGCAATCTGCGACACCGTTCAAATCACAAAGCGTATAAATGACCACGAGAGGAAAGGGGGATTAATCGCGGGTCCAAAGGGAAAGCGGGCTTCTCCGGCGGGCGGCGCATCCAAGGGCGCCCCCTCGTGGCTCGGCCCGGTCGTTCTTGCTGCGGCGGCGGCGCCTCCGTTCCTAGCGAGCCCCAGGCTGCGGCCGGCTGGTGGCCACGGACCGGGAAACTTTGCCCGGAGAGCTCCTCCGAAATCGAGGGGCCGGGGCGCCGCTTTCATGCTGCAAAGCGCTGGTGCGCAGGGAGAGGGAACGGGGAGAGAGGAGGGCGCCGCTGCCCCTCGCCGGGGCGAACGGCTTCGGCGGAGCCTCCCGGCCCCGGCGCTTTGCGATGCTGGTGCCTCGCGCACGAGCTCCGCCCCGCGGGGAACACAACGAGAGGGGCCGGCGGAGGGCTGGGGTGCGGGAGCGGCGCACCGGGCGTCCGCTCGGGGGCCGGGAGGCGCTCCGCCCTGCCCCGCGGGCGGCACACGCAGCCCCCGGCCGTGCTGCCCCCGGCGCCGCGAGCCCGGCGCGAACTGGGCCCGAGCGGCTTCTCGGGCACGCGGACTCCCTCGCAGGGCATCGGGGGCCCAGCAGCGGGCGCCGCGTTCACGCGCATCGCCAAGGGCTGCACGGGAGTGGCTCCCTCCGCCCCACCAGCTCCGCGACGCTCCAACACGCGCCGCCTCTCGTCCCCTGGAGTGCTGCAGGTTCCTGGACTTGCTGCTGCGAGCCATTCAGACGACCACCGCACACGGAAAACAGGAAGAGGTGCGCCTGCCCTTTGGGGCCGCTCTCACGCGGAGCTCACTGCGCCCGCTCAGCCGCTACCGCCGAGCGAGGCTCCAGCCCAGGAAGGGGCGCCTCTCTGGACCGATTCTGGCCAGCTCCTGAGCGCGCCCTTCCCGCGGGAGCGCGCAGCGCGGACACCCGCCCCCCGGCCGCGCGCGGCCCCGGTGCATGTGCGTGGCCGTCCAGCGGGGGCGCTCCGCCCGGAGCAGTCTGCGGGCCGCCGGAAAACTACACGTCCCAGAGTGCCCCGCGAGCCGCGTTCCCGGCGGGCCTTGCGGCGGCGGGACGGAGGAAGGGCGGCGGGCACCTGAGCGCCGCGGACCGGCGCGCCATGTCGGGGCCGGGGCTGGGAGCGGGGCCGGACGCGGCGGGGCCGGGCAAAGGGGCCGCGGGCGGGGCGGCGCGCGCCCGGCGGAAGCTGCTCACGGCGGAAGAGGCGGAGCTGTTCGAGCTCGCGCAGGCGGCGGGCAGCGGCCTCGACCCGGAAGTGTTCCGGTGAGCGGCGGCGGGCGGCCAGCATGCGGGCCCGGTGGCGCCGTTGCGGGCGCCGCGTTTGCATCCCGCTCTCCTTCCTCTCGCGCGGGGCCCGCCGTGGGCTCCTGCCCCGCGCTTCGCCCCTGGCGCCCTGCCAGGCGGCTCCCGAGGGCCCAGGGAGCGGCTGGCCGAGCCGGGACTGGGTCGCCCTGGCTTCCCATCGCGCCCCCTCTCGGCGCCGGCCGTGCTCTGGTCGCGCGCGGCTCCGAATGGGCCGCGTTAAACAGGCCTCGAGGGCCGGATCATTCGCGGCTCCACATGGGACACGGTCGCCTTCCCTGCCCTGGAAGGGGAGAGCTGCCCTGGGCGGCCGTGCAGAGGGCCGCTCACGAGCGGGGAGGCGATCCGCGGCTGCTGGGCCTGCCCCGTGCGCCGCCCTCTCTGCCGCAACTGGCACACCTGCGTGCACCTGAGGCGCGGACGGGGAGCGCCTGCCCCCCCCCCCCGCTTGAGGCGTCCTGTGGGCGGCTGGTGTGCCGCCGTGGATGCGGAGTGCGGGTCTAGATGGGCCTTGCTGGGATCCCCCAGGGCTACTCTTACGTTCTCCCTTTGCGGAGGGGAGGTGAATGTGCCCTCTAGTCACATCTAGAATAAAGGCTTAGGTTTCATTAGCATTTTAAATACGCAGTTGTAACTGCTGTGTGGCAGAGAAGAAGCGGTGCACTGAAAGTTCCTACGAAGGCCCGTTTCAGGACCATGAAGTGGTCCGTATTGTGTTCTCAGGCTCTGTGTTCTCTGCTAGGATTTTGCTGGACCTTCTGCGCATGAATGTGGCACCTTTGGCCGTCTTCCAGATGCTGCGCTCCATGTGTGCAGGGCAGAGACTTGCTGGTGCCGAGGCTGCTCCAGAGCCAGTGCGAGGTCAGTGGTACCCCTCTTGTTGCTCATGGCCCCCTTCTGAGGCTCATTCACCTCTGTGACCCTCCTCATAGTTGCCTTTAGATGGAAAACATGCCTTACCATCTGCACCGTTTATTACCTAAACTGTGTTATAGTTTAATGCTTGGCTTCTAAGGAATATAATATTTCATTGTTTACAGACTGCCCTTTTTGTTAAAATGTTTATTGTAAGCTATAGTTAATTTTCAATATATATACTACCGAAATTAGTACAGAGAGTAAGATATGTGGATTAGTACAAATTGATTATACATATGACATTTCAGTTTGGATGGCCCCTTCAGAAACTTATTGTGGCCCCTTAGAAATATGGCATTTGGAGAACCACTGTGCTAGAGAAGTAGTTTAGCAAGACCTGCCATTGGTCAAGGTTTAATTAAGCTGGGGGATCAATGGAATCAGAGTATCTCCGAGCATCTGTGGAGTGTCTCGCCTCTGGTTTTTTTTTTTAGTTTGCTTCTATATAGGCGGTTGGTTTTGCATGCATGAGCTTCAGTACAAATTTATTTCTAGATGTTAATTACTGCCTTCAACTGCTGTGCCCAAAAGCTATAAAAATTGTGCAAATTTAGGCTTCCTGCCAACACTAAGAGTGGGACTTTGGATATTCTGTGCTGAATGAACAGTGACTGAATGCTCCAAAAAAAAAACCAAACAAACAAATTAATCAATAAGGTTCCATAGACTTTTGAAACATCCAATCCTTTAAAAAAATTTCTCTTGTTTATGTGACTAGAATTAGAATGTATAGAACACGTACTTCTGATTAATTCTTCAGCTTCAGCAAAAGAACACAAGCTTCATGTTCCCTTGCAGAACAGCTATCAAGATATGTACTTTAAAAAAATAGGTGACACACTTTATCTACTGCAGGCAAACTTCTCATTTTCAATCTGTAAGTGACACCCTTTCTAATAGGCACTGTGGTTACTACAAACATAGGAAGCTGCCTTGTGCTGAATTGGGTGAGTCCCCCGGGGTAGGCAACTTGAATGGATGCAGCCAGCAGTTTGAGTAAGTGTCCTGGGCACCAGTGCAGCGTGCCGCTGGGGGAGGTGTGGCCAGGCGTGAAGAACAGGTAGCCAGCCCACAAGCCGCAGAGGTGAGGCCTGAGCCCCAGCACGCCAAATGCCTTTGAACTCACAGCGTTCAGCATCGCAGAAAGCAACCCTTTCCTCGACCCCTTCTCACCAGCCAGCTCACCCCCGCCGGCTTTTTCCTTGCTCTGGCTTACCGCCTTCTCTCTCTCGGACGGGTCATGACGAGCGGGAGTGGGGTGGGTTTGCCACACAGAAGAGAGTCACCGGCTCTGTCGCTCCCTGTCCCGCCCCCTGCTCTTGCCACATATCCCAGCAGCCTCTGTTGTTCCCCTCAGCTGCCTTTTCCTGGCTGGTCCACTGCGGTTTTGGGCCAGGCTGTCCGTTTCCTATTCCTGCTTGCCTCTCCGTCTCTTCTTAGCCCATCCAGGCCCCCAGAGGGATTTTCCCCCACTCAAATAAGCACCTTTGCAGTGAACTGTCTGCTCTCGCCCTGTTTCGGATGGAAAGCAGGGTGGCAGGCACAGCCTGTAGGAACAGAGTAAGTGGTAGTGCGCGCTGCCAGTATCCTCAGGGTAGCAGAGAGCAGGTGCCTGAGGCAGTCCCTCCTGCTGCCACTCCGAGGGAGGGTGGTTCATCCGGAAAAACGCTGGAGCACTGGGCCCGGATTTCGCCACAGACCAGTGTAGTAAGTGGGAACTGTGCAATAAACTGTATCTGGGCAGCAAAACCAGTTGTGAAGATACAGTGCAACTGGGTCTGGGGGACGTGAGAAGCCCATGGTGGTAAATAACCAAGCTCTTGCAGTGGATGGTGGATGCGCGCTTTGCCTGCCTCCCCCCTCACAGATTGATCTCACCCCTCCCCAGTTTATCCTTCCTCCTTCCACACGCATAAAATTAACTCCGGTCTCCATCATGCTTGCATACGTCCACACATGGACAAGTGTCCCTTCCTTCTAACTGCAGGCATGTGTGACACCATGCTGCTTTTGGCACGCCCCCCCCCCCCCCGCTTTCTTGCGCAGGTGCAGCCCACAGTGCTCCAGACTTGCAGGCGCACAGCTCTCCTCAGCCGGCTCAGCCAGCCAGCTCGCCCTGCCCCACTGGGTGGCCGGCAGCCCCGCGGCCCCTAGCCAGTGCAGCTGCTTCCCTTCTGGCCCCACTGCCCTCCTGCTCCCCCAGGCTCCTGCAGCTTGCGCGGGGCTAGGGAGCCGTCACCAATGAACCTTTGTGCAGGTAGCGAGTCTGTGATAAAGCGTGTTTTTGGTGAAGGCAGCACAGCTGCACACACTTGTCTTGCTTTCAGTTTGGACCTAATCACTCTCGCAAAGCTTTTGACATAGTGCCCCACGACATTCTGATAAGCAAAAACTGGACTAGATAGAAAAGCTGTTCGGAGGATCCAGAATTGGCTGCTAAATCGGAGTGTTCATCGATGGCATCTTCCCAGACCGGAGGGAGGCAACCAGTGGGGTGCCTCCGGGTTCAGTCTCAGTCCCAGCGTTCCTCAACATATTGATTAACGATTCAGATGAGGAAGTGCAAAAAATGATCAGATTTGCAGATGGTACAGAAGCGGGCTGAATAGTGAACACCCTGGAAGACAGAATGAAGATCCAGGAGGATCCCGGGAAGCTTGAGCTCTGGGCTGGAAGCAACCAAGGTGATTCGGCCGGGACAGATGCCAAGTCTCCCTCGGAAAAAGAAACCCGGTGCATCGCTCCATGGTGGGGAACACGTGGCTCAACACACCCGAAAAAGAAGAAGACCTCAGAGTTACTTGGGCAACAGGCCAAACATGAGCAAACAATGCTATGCAGCCTCAAAAAGGGCAACTGCTATTTTGGGGTGTATTAATAGAAATACTAATTTGAAATCATGAGAAATAGCTGTTCTCTATACCCTTCACTCGTCAGACCTCATCTGGAATATTGGATCCAGTTCTGCGCACTAAGATTTAAGAAAGATGCAGAAAATCTAAAAAGGGTCCAGAGGAGGGCAGCAAAATTGATCCAGGGCCTGGAAAACTGCCCTTTGAGGAGACAGTGCGAAAGCTGGGCATGTTCAGCCTGGAGAAGGGAAACTGAGCGGGGACATGATATCCGTCTATAAGTATCTGAATGGCAGTCACAAAGAGGAAGGACAAGGTCTCTTCTCACCAGAGTGCAGGACACGGAATAGTCAGTCCAAGCTGCAACAGCCCAGATTCAGGCTGGACAACAGGAAAGGCTTCCTCACGGTCAGAGCAATACGGCAGTGGGACCAGCTGCCGGGGGGGGGGGGGTCTCCCACACTAGCCATTCAGGGTGAATCGGGAAGGTCACCTGAGTGGGTTTTGTGAGCTGGTGTCCTGCAGCAGCAGGGGACTGACCGAATGTGTCCTAGCAGCCCTTGTTCTTAGCCAAGGCTTCTTCACAGCATTAGAGCCTTGCTTGTGCTTTGCATTGCATACTGTCCACGAACGGCGCCCTCTCTGGCTTGCACTCTGATTCAGAAGAAGGGCAGTAAGAGGGCCCGATACACTGAGCGGCAGAGGCCGGGGAGCCAAGATGTACCTGACTCCTGCCTCTGGAAGAGCTGGCCAGCCCGAGGAACGCATGGCGGAAGGCAGGAAGGTGGGATCAGCCAAAGGCGGAGCAGGACAGAACTCTGGCACAAGACCCTGCACTCCATGGCCACCGCTGTGCCTCATGCAAAGCCGGATTCGCTGAGCGCCACGAGGGAGCAGGTGTCCAGGGGCGCACTGCTCGGTCACTCCTGCTGCCTGCAGAACTGGCTGAGCACCCCAGGGAAGCTATGTCTGTAGTTCGCTTGCCATTGCACCAAACCAGTATCTCTAGTTTATTCCTCTTCGGGCAAGCCAGAATCATGAGCCAGGATTGCAAGCCTGGCTTATGCTTTTGGCTTGTGAGGAGAGCGGCCGAGTTCCTGGTCTGGGAGTCTTGAGTCATGGTTTCTTCCCTGGCTTAGCTGCTCGTGCTGACGGAGGAGCCACGTAGGGGTGATCCATGTGCTTGTGTGCTGACCATCGGCCTGCATTCCTGGCTGTTCTGAAGCAGGCCCATGTTTCCTTTCTAGTGCCGCTCCTCAGCCTCGTGAGTGCTTGTTTGTGGGTCCATTTGCCTCCTGCTTCTCTTGGCACTCGCTTGTCTAAGCTATGGAATGGGACCACTTGGCTGGATGCCCCCCCCCCCAGCAGATAGTGAATTCTTGCGTAGGTATGGCTGAATTCTGTCTAGTTGGCTTGCTTGCTTTTCTGTGTGAGATCTGATACCGCAGCTTCTGTGCTCATGTTCGCTTCAATTCTGGCTGCTTCTCATGCTATTCGCTCGCTCGTCACCTCTGTAATCCCACAGTCCTCATTCTTCCCAAGTCAAAAAAGCAACTGGGAGGGTCTAACGGGGCCCAGGATACAGTTTTGTAGCATCATTTTGTGCTTTCTGAGAATGAAGAGGAGTGCCTCTAGCCTGCAGCCGCTTTCTCCTCGAACTGGGAATCTGAGAAGTGAGGGCTGACCTGCATACTGAACAAGCAGACATAACAAAGAGACCCTTTCTGCTGGAAAGAGGAGCAGCGGGCTGGGAGCCCAGAAGCAGCAGTGGAAAAGGTGCTTGCCCCTTTCGGCACCTGCTGCTTCTCCATCCCATAATCCCGCTGCCAAAAAGCACTCTTTGTGGGTTTCAGCTTTGTTTACCCTAACAATGCGTCTGGAGACCCACGTGGTGCCGGGGGTTCGGCAGCAAAGTAAAACTGGCAGGCAGGGTCCTCGGCTGATTCTCCACCCTCAGTTGCGCTTCACGTGCCTCCGCCAGCCGCTGGTCTTCCACAGCGTCGTGCCCCAGCTCTGGATGCTTTCTTGAGCTGGCGTCACAGAGACGACATCCTGTTGGAAGTCCCTGGTTTACTGAGGGTGGGCCTGGCCCCCAGGGCTTGTCCATCCCCTTTGAAAGACTGGCGCAAGGGACCACGGCCACATCTTGCGGCACAGAGCGCAGCAAGATAATGACTCCTTGTGTGAAGAAGCGCTTCAGCTTTGTTTCTCCCGAGCTCAGAGCTTGGCCCTGAGCTCCAGTATTTTGAGAGAGTTGTTTTCACGCATTACATTTCTGTACCTCCTGTTAGCCAAATATTCTCCACAGCAACCACAATTTTTATAAATGTCTGTAATGCTTTCCTCCCCTCCTGATCATCTTCATTTTCGGGACAAAGTATATTTCAGATCTTCCTCCATTGGGAATATGCTCCAACTTGGTCATCTCTGGGGTGGGTAGCCAGGGCAGCCTGTGGCACTCCCTCTGTTGCTGCACCCTCTGTGATATGTGCTGTGGCTGTCTGGGTTTCAGGCCCCTCCCTAGTCGTCTTCTGTGTAGAATGAGTCTTTTCCATGATTGCTGCACACCAGGCCAAGTCTCCATTGGGGCAGCCCCCTCAGCACGGATGTGGTGGGCTAGGAGGCGAGAAGGGACCCCCAGAGCCCTGGCGTGCATCTCTCTGTGTCCTGCAGGGGTGGCACCAGATGTGCGGCACCCGGTGGCGCCTTCTGCTTCTTCTGCACCTCAGTAGTGCAGGCACTCTGGAAGCATCGCTGCCTGCATTGTGCGCAACCGGCCCCGACCCCGGGGGCCCACTGCCTCCCTCCCGCCTTCCTGTGCCCTCTCAGCCCTTTCCTGTCCCCTTTCTTGCTCTTGAACCAGGTGCGGCCTCATAAGATAACTTTGCCATTTTGAAAGGAGGGGTTTAGTTCCAAGCTTCTTGAAACTCCAGGGCCTTCGTCTGCCTACCCTCTTGAAGCATCCCAAGAGACTAGGGAGGTGAGAAAGGCTTCCCTCCTCGGACTCCACCCTGATGCCTTTTTGCATATGTTCTTTCATATCTTTCCACCAAACAGGCTGAACAGCCTGCAATTTTCCAGCTCCCAATCTCTTTTTGAAGTTGTTCTTTACGTGAGGCACCTGCCCGGCTCCTTAGCCAGAGCGACTTACAAGCAGCAGCGGGGAGGCTTGCTTGGCCCTCGGGCTCTCCGTCTGCGGACCCAGCGCACAAAGCCAAAGGGAAGAGGGCGTGGGAGGAGAGACTGCAGCCCTGCCTCTCAGTCGCCTTCCCGGCCTCTTCTTTTAACGAGTCACTTCTTTTTGAGAGGCGATCACTAGTTCCACACTTGCTTTTTGGGGTATGTGCTGTCTCAGCCCACATGGCTCCACACTTCATCAGTGGCAAAGTAGGAATGCATGATCGTTCTTTTATAAGGTCATATAATTTTCGTTTTTTTCTGTGAATCAATGCTGCTTCAATCATGAGGCTTAGAGCTGTGTGAAGAGTTAACCCCTGGGTGACACTGACAGATACTGATCCTTGTCTGGCAGGCTGTAGGGCACGGGGATGCTGCAGCCTGGCCTCACGAGCTGGAAATCCGCCACCCCAAACCCTGCAGCTGGCATGGAAAGAACGGCCAGTCATGGAGGGCGGGTGAAGTGCTGGAGGACTGGAGCAGGGCTAACATCGTCTCTCGCTTCCCATCGCTAGTTGAATATGAGCCAACAGTGTATAGTGGCTGCAAAAAGAGCCAGTGCTATTTTGGGCTGCCTCAGGAGAAGTATAGCTTCTAAATTATGTGAGGTGCTTGTTCCCCTAACTCTGTCCAGCTCTAGGTAGGCCCCATCTCAAGTCCTGTGTCCGGTTCTGGGCACCCTTCAAGAAAGACGCAGACAGACTGAGCAAAGTTCAGCGGAGGGCGGTGCAGGTGATCCAGGGATCGGAAACGAAGCCCTGGGAGAAGAGGTTGTACGAGCTGGACATGTTTGACCCGGAGAAGAGAAGGCTGAGGCGGGATATGACAGCATTTTTCGAATGCGAGGCCAGGATACAACACTGGACTCCAATTACGGGAAGCCGGGCTCCCGCTAGCCGTCCGGAGAAAGGTCCTGCCTGTGAGAGCAGTACGGCGATGGAACAGTGGCCTGGGGAGGGGTGGCCCTCCCACCGGGAGCCATTCCAGAGGCAGCCAGGCAGCCGCCTGCTGGGAATGCTTTGACCTGGAGCCCGGCGTCGAGCAGAGAGCTGGACTGGGAGGCCCCTGCCTGCTTCCAGCTGTTCTGTCCTATGAGCCCTGGCCGACCTCTGAGGCCAGATGATTGGAGGTGATGTTCAGGGAGCTGGGGAGGCGGAAGAGTCTGGAGTGCGAGGGGTCCTGGCTTCGTCCCGCTTCTGCCCGAGCACCCATGGCAGGGGACAAGAAGCCCGTCCAGCACGATCCCAGCAGCCAGCGAGTTGGGCGGTGCCGGCTCCTCCTGCCAGTTTGTCCTCCCTGCAGCTTCAGCCTGGCAGGGCATTCAGGGCCACGGGAGCCTCCTGGTTCCAAGGGTTCCATCTTGCACGGCACACGGCACAGGGCTGTGCTCTGAGCTGTTTTGGATGGAGCATAGACTGAATGAGGCTCTGGGAAGCAGAACTGGTGTGAAGGCGTGTATATAGAGCCCCAGAAGCAGAGTGAGTCAGGAGGGGCCTCTGGGGCCATCTAGTCTCGCCCCTGGCGCCAGCCGGCTCCGCCCATGCAGTCCCCAGCGTGTGGCTCTCCAATGTTCCTCGGCTGGCCTGGATGCCGCGCAGGGAGCAGCATGGGAAGAGGAGGCATTGTGTGTGAGGCTCTACAGAGGAGGCGCTGCGGAGATGCCCAAAATAGCGTGGCGTTCCAGCGCGAGAACTTGCGCCAGAGAAGGAATTGGCTCTGTTCTGCTTAGCTGAATGCTCTGGGGCTGTACTGACTAGGCGTGGAGGGGGGACTTGGCAAGGAGGATCCCCCAGGGAGGTGGCGATGGCTGCAATGGCTGCAGCTGCACTGTTGCCGGAGGAGGTCCGCAAGGCGGCACCTGCCCAGAGAGCCGCCCTCCGGCAGGTAGTGTGCCGCCCGGGAGAGCTGCAGCTGAAGTTCCCAGTGGGCGCAGCCAGGATTTCCCTCCACTCACGCTTTTCTCTCCCACCCTGTGTCTCTTTTAAGGAGGGTTGATCAAACGTCGCTTAGCATCTCAGTAATAGAAGCTTATACGTAACATGTATTTATTTGCAATATTTAAAATCATTCAGTGCTTTGCATGTGGAATGACCAGAAGAAGGTTGAGGAGCTCAGAACAACCGCTCTGCACAGCTCCCTCTTTCTCCTGACGCCCTCAACCTGCTTCGAGCACAATATCCTAGTTCAAGTATTTGTGTCTGGACTTTTCTTGGTATACAGGTATGAATTGTATAGGCAGAAAGAATGTAACCGTGATAGTACCTTATGTAACGGCATTCAAGTTATCTGACTGTAAACGTTTTCTGAGCTTTCTGCACATGCACAAGTTTGTCTCTGTATCTCTCACCATGTGGAGTTTCTAATTTGTTTCTATGTCTCTCTTTGAATTAGAGCCCCCACTTGTCTCTGCCAAGACCAGTAAACTCCCTGCTCCACTCTCATTTTCCTCTGTCCTTCGACCGCCACGAATAAGAGTCACTAAGGCTGTGGTCTACAGTCCAGCTGCAGCTTGTTCGCCTCTCTCTCAAGGTCCCCCTGGCTCTTTCCAGTTTTCTTGCTGCCTGTTCTCTCCTTTTGCAGGTCGTGTGTATTAGTTGTCTACTGGGTTTTAGTGCAGTCCTCCGTGATAAGAAAGAATTCTCTTTTAAAAGTAGTTCAGTTGCCTCCTAAGAATGCTCGCTTGGCAGTCAGAACTGTGAATTTCAGCAAGATTTGCCTCTAAGTTAACGTGCTTTGCATTTTAACTTTAGACTTAAAACACGGGGCACTACACAGCGCAGTTAACCCCAGTTCTAACATCGGGGGGGGGGCGTGCGCATGCGCATGAAAAAGGATACCCTGAGTGTGGCTGACTTTGGGTTGGATAGCTGAATTAAGAGCCTGGCAGGACTGCGGCCTGTGGGGCAGAAACGCCTTGCGGTTTCCGAGGGAACCTGTGCGTAGTGCAGCCTGCAGACCTCCGAATGCTCTGGCGGTGGTTAGCGCCGCTCAACTGTGTCTCCTCTGACGGCTGCCCCAAAAAGGGAGTGGCATGTGGGGACTGAGCCTGATTGTGCCCTCGACGTGGACCCCCTTGCTCCTTTGGGGTCCAGCACAGCACGGCTCCACGTCCCTCGCAGTGCAGGCCCCACCTTCTGGAGTGCCCGGACGTTGCTGAGACGCTGGCCGAACCCAGTCCCTTAGTCTGCGGGGTGCCTGTGCTTAGTCCACGCTTTCTGGGAATGTCTGGCTGAGTTATTTTTCTGAAATGTTTCTGCTGAGTATGGATAACCTTGTACTCCTTTTCAACCAAGAAAATGCTGCTCTTTGTATCAGGGTAACTGTGCGTTGAGGCACTCAGAATTCTAGCTGATGGGCTGAAGTATTTTATCTTTTGTGATACTTGAACTGAATGTTCTTGGGAAAATTCTCCGGGAAAGATTACATGGGAGCACGTCGATCGGAAGTCGATTGTACTTTCTTCAAAAATAATGGCCAGACTACTGGCCTGTCTCCTTCACTGTGCCATTGCACGTTTGCAACAGAGACGGCTTCCTCCGCTCCCAACCCACCTTGTGCCCTCAGAGCTGGCAGCTCGCAGCAGCGGCCGTCTCTCCCTGCAGCCCTCCCTGTGTGCAAGGAAACGGGGCGGCCGGAGCGGAACACCGCCGGGGCAGACGCAGCCACCTGTGCAGGGGCAGCTGCTTGGGACAGGGCGTGCCCCCCCGCCCTTTAACTGAGGGAGGCTGGTTGAGCTCCTCAGCCCCACGGGGTCTGAGGGCAACCCTGCATTTGCCGCCTGAGTGCAAGCAAAAGCTTCCTCCGACTCTCGGTTTGCCCACCGCGGTGAGGACCTGGGCAGCTCTGTGCGAGGGCAGCAGAGCACGGGGCGGAGGCGTGGGACCCAGTGGATCGCTGGCTTGCCTTTGGGGTGGGGTCGTGTGCCGGCTGCTGCCCGAGAGGGCTGCTCAGGAGGCTTTGGGGGGGGGGAGCAGGAGGACTTCTTTATATTCCTCCTCCCAAGAAGAATTGATTTCTACTGTGAAATTCAGCTTGGATTCCAGGTAATGCACAATGTTAGGAATGCTCTTAACGCATTTAGCAAATGACACAGGAGAGTACAAACTCCAGGCCCACCACTCTGGAACCCAGGAATGACGGGGCACGTGAAATGCCTCCACCCCCTTTGGAGAACTCGGGCTGACAGGAGTGGCCCTGTATGTTCAAGCATCCGGTTGTGTGGGGGGCAAGGAGAGGGTCATGCCCATGGTGACCTGCCTGCTCCACCCGTCCCGCCAGAGCAGGAAGCCAGAGCCAGCCCTCCTGTGCCCCTGTTCTGCCCTCCTCTCACTGGGGATGGCGAGTGTGCGGCAGCCGGCACTGGGCGGGGGGAGGGGGGGCTCCTGGCCGTACGGGGCCCTCGGCCAAGACTGTCCTCGCTCGTGAGTGGCCTTAGACTGGCTTTTCAGGAATCAATGGATTATTTAAAGGATGGTGGCACACTTTCAGTCTCCCTGGATGACATTTGAGAAAATAATATTGGTTACATTGCTTCGAACCAAATTATTGCTAGGACTAGTTTTTGCCCTAAAATACAAAATATTTTCTAGAGCCCTTTTTCATGAAATTAGACCCAACGAGGAGGAACAGGAGGTGCCCGTGAACCTCTGCCCTACCAAACATCTGGAGGATGCGTTGTAATCTATGATTAAAGCTTTGATAGGTTGACCTACCCATTTCAATGGACCTAAAGCACGGAACCTTAACTAAGTGTGGAATAGTACATTTCGTAATACAGGAAGCAGGACTAGTTCAGAAAGTGCCACCCGTTCCGCTTCTAGAAGACCTTCTGCTTGGGACCGTGTTGTAGTTGTCGCTGCTCTCAAGCAGCCGCCCACAGCCACAATTCCATCCCGTTGTTCCAAGAATGGAAGCACAAGTGCTGAATCGAGAGGTCTTTGGCTGGGAAGAAGCAGAAAGAGGCCCCGCTGCTTCTCTTTCCTGCCTAGGTGTAGGAAGCGCTGGTCACTGGAAGCAGCGGCTTGGCAATGCTGCCAGGTAACTGCTCTTTCAGCAGGTGGGGCTTAGGAAAAGAGCCCGGAATAAGTGCCGATTGCTCCAGAGGACCCTTGGAGCAGGCAAATGTCTGCTCAAGTTGAACTGAGCGCCTTTACTGGTCAGAGTGCAGCTCATCCTCGTGCGGGAGGCTTATTAAATCCGCGTCTCCTAGGTGAATGTTGACACGTCGGAAACACTTGAGCAACTCTCGCACTTGCTGCCTTGCTCATAAAAAACCCTGAACTGAGCTTCTGTTTTCCTCCAGGGAGAATGAGGACCATTTCTGCAGCCGCCGCAAACCAGGCGCTTTCGGATCACAGCGGCCGAGAAGGCTCCGGCCAGCGCGTGCCTCGGCAGCCGAGCGCCAGCAGGCCGCAAAAGGCCGGGTGCCCCGGGAAGAGCGCGTAGAGGCTGGGCGGGGGGCCGCGGAAGGCGTGTGTCCCGCTGCTGCAGAGAGTGGCGACGCGGCTGCCGCCGGCGCTGGAGAGCGAGCGGGAGCACTGCGGAGGCCGCACGCAGCTCAGACCAGGGAAGCCCGTGCCCGGGAGCCGGCGGACCGCCGCATCACGCGTCCACTGATAAAGTTGCCAGTGGAACCATCCTGCTTCGTGTTTATTTCCTGTTTCACCGTGTGTGGTTGCGGTTGCTGGCGTGTGTGTACTTTTCACCTGCATTGTGCCCGTGCTGCTGCCTCATAAATGCGTATCCTCCCCATGTCCTGTTGGGCAGCTCGGTATGTGATGTGCTGCCACCGCCACTTCTTTCGCCGCTTGTGACCCAGCACTATGCAAAGCTGCTTGCTTCTGCCTAAGCTGACTCAGGCCTCGGCCGCAGCCCGGCACACTCTTCCTGTGGGAGGCGAGCCCGTTCAGTTTCAGGCAGGCTGTTACTGGAAAAAATTCTTAAAGAACATTGAGCAACTGACCAGGCAGGCAAGACAGCCTCCTCAGTTTGAGATTAGCATTGTTGAGTTTTGCATTGTAGCCCCTCCTGTCTGTGCCATGTTTCTCCTCGGGAGTAGAGCTGCTCCATCTCTTCTGGGTTTGTCATTTCCAGCATAAAACACTTTGTCTGACGGGAAATGCCCCATTCCAGCCCACTTTAGTTCTCTCATACCAAGTGCTGCAACGTTTGGCCACTCCACTTCCTGCCCCTCGGCAGTTCCGCTCCCCTCGTCCCCATGAGCAAGATCCACCCCCTTCTGCTGATGTGGCTGCTCAACCGAAGAGGAGGGTGCACCTGGGACTGTGTCTCCCCTTTCACTGCCCCGCCTCGGGTGACCCTGCGAGGAGCTCGCCTGCTGAGGCAGCCTCGCCTCCTGGTGGCATCGCGCTCGGTTTGAGCATGAGCCCGAACTGTGGACTGAAGCCTGAGACCTTGATAAGGAAGATACCAAAAGATGATTCCCGTGGCAAAAAGCCTAACATTGTGCACTACCTGGAATCCAAGTTGAATTTCACAGTAGAAATCAGTTCTTGGGAGGAGGAATATAAAGAAGTCCTCCTGCTCCCCCCGCAAAGCCTCCTGAGCAGCCCTCTCGGGTAGCAGCCGGCACGCGGCCCCACCCCAATGGCAAGCCAGCGATCCACTGGGTCCCACGCCTCCGCCCCGTGCTCTGCTGCGCTTGCACAGAGCGGCCGGTGGGGCTGGTTTGACTGCTTGGGGAGGGGCTCTCGGGATGGGGGTGGGGGGTCTCGGCGCGCAGAGTACAGGAGGGAGCAAGAGCTTGTGGGGATGGCTCGCCAAGCAGGCGTCCTCTTGGGTAACGCGGACTGAGCACTGCCCCGTGGCTTATCCGAAGGGGGTGCTGGTGTGGGTGGTGTGTGGCTGCCTGGACTCTGGCCAGCGCTGTTTGCTCACCCTTGTCCCTCGAGCTGCAGCCTGTGCAGAGTGACGCCATCTGGCATCTGGCAGGGACTTCCAGTCCCCTGTCTCATCCCTTGGACAGCCCTTCCAGCAGCATTGATCCCGCTCCTGCGCTGACCTTTCCCCTGCATTTCCCGGCGGTCTTTCGGCCCACCTGGGCAGGCAGCTCCTCGCACTCGTCACCGTCGCCCAGATGCCCCCTGCTGTTCTGAGGGCTGCATCCATGCAGGTCCCCTTTCTTCAGCACACCTCAGACACGAGGGGCCTTAGGGTGCTACCTCTGCACCTCGCGGCATCAGCGTGAAGTCAGCCATGGCCTGAAGGACGAGCTATTTCATTCCCTCTAAATGTTCCTCTGCTTGGAAAAAATCTTACAAAAGACCCGGAATTTGAAGCTGAGGCTTTGTGCCCTTGAGGCCTCCCCTGTGAGCAGTCAGTGGGGCTCAGGGCTCTTTGTGTCCGTTCCACAACAACCTGGCTAGCAGCTAGAGCGAAATGGGCCAAAAAACAACTTCGTTAAACACTCCCAGCCCAGCTTGCCATTGCCGATACCCCAAAAGTCGCCTTCATTTTTGAGGCTGGCTAGGGGGGTTTAGGAGAGGTGTTTCAGCATCAGCCCTACTGCTGCATCTCTAGCACAGCTGCCATAGAAACGGCTTCAATGGCGTTCTGCACATGGATTGCTGCTTTTCCTAGCTGTGTGCTTAGCCAAGAAAAGCGCAGCTGAACGAGCAAGTTTAGGCGGTATGTTTGCTGCATCCTCTCCTACTCTGAGCAGCTGCCGCTGGCATGAATTGCCTGCTAGGGCAGGGTCAGGTTGGGCGAGGTGCAGGCCCCAGGTGATGTCCAAGGCCAATCCCAAGGGCATTTCGGGACCGTTCCCGCAGCCGTCACGGTTTCCCCTGGCGCGCACGGGGCTGAGACGGAGCTGCCGAAGCGCGGAAGGGAGGCGCTGAGTGAGCGCAGCGTGCCACGGCTGCACGGTGCGGCATCAAAGGGTCCCGGGCGGTGCCTGCCGGCTTCCCAGCGCCTGCCCTCCAGCCACCGCTCCAGCTGCTCCGTGGCTCCAGCCCTCCAGCAATGCGGAAGGCAAGTGGGGCATAGAGTCGAGCTGGACAGAGACCCGCTGGGGCTTCACGAGCAATGGCCATAGCAACCTGCAGGCTCCCTGGAGACCGGGTGACCCCTTTACCCTCCGGGGCTGAGCTGGCACCCCTGCGGGGCTGAGGCGCCTGAAGCCTTTTGGGGGCCTGGAATGCTGGCCAGGTCTGGGTGGTCCTCAGAAGTGCGTGCGCATTCACACTAGATGAGCAGAGGTGCAGGGCATGGATGGGGGAGGTGGTGCTGGTGAAGGGGGGGTTTGCTTCACCCTTCCCTGCGTGCCATGTCCCTCAGTTTAAATCCCACCTGCTTGGGTGCCGCTTGCTTACCTGGGAAAGCATCCCGGCGCCATGCAGAGGGAATCCACCTTGCGGCGGACTGGAGTTACGCAAGGGAGAAGGAAGGGGTGTAGGGGGAATGCAGCAGGCCTTCACGGGAAAGGAGCCCACGGGGGCCAGCGGGAGGGAGAAGCGGGAGGGCGTGGGAGGCAGCGATGGCCAGTGCTTTGAGTCAGCTGATGCGGCAGGAAAGCAGCCCAGGCCTTCTCCGTCCGTCTGCTGGCTGTGACCTTTGGTTGCGCAACCGTGAAGTAGACGTTACTGGCTGCCCTGATAAGGCCAGGATGGACGTAGCTGGGCTTCGGGGGCGGGGGGGCAGGGAACATCCTTAAAAGCCGTGGGCCGGGGAGGCACATGCTCCGGAGCCTAGCCTGACTGCCCAGCAAGCCGTGAACATGTTCCGGCTCCTCAGCCACACCAAGCGCTGCTTGCAGGCGCAGCGGGTGCTGCAGCGGCCGCTCCGGCCAGTCCAGCTTCCGGTGATGGTGCAGCAGAGCAGGTGAGCAGCTTTGCGGGGCCGGAGCATCCTCTCTTCTCGTGCCTTAGCTTGGCTTGGCTTCCCGCCTAGAAGCCCTGGCAAGAGAATTGCACTCTAGTCAGCGTGCGTCCTGGAGTCAGGGTGGACATTTCCTGTAGGTCACCCCAAATCCTTGGAAATGGGGGAGGTGCCCTCCTAAACCCCTTTCTGATAACCACACCTTTGCCTCTCTCTGCATGCCATGGCGTCGAACTCCAGGGTGGTTTTGCTTAATACCTGCAGAGCCCACTCCTGTGTTTTGTGGTTCCCTAATTCATGGGATGCTGGTCCATGTCAGTGCAAATGCAGGACAACGTTGTTCTGCTCAGCCGCGTTTTTCCAGGCGATGCGCAATATGAACACCACACCGGAGACCAGGCTGGCAGCCTGGGGAGCCCCTTGCTCCACAGCTGCGCGTGAGCGTCACGGGCACAGCCACGTCGCTGTGGCACTTTGGGGCACCTGGATGCATCGCAGCCCCAGGAGCCCTGGCCTCGCTTCGTCTGCACATACTCGCGCTTGAGGCTCTCCCTGTAAGAAGGCATGAGGCATATTCACAACCTGTCGCACCCCCGCCTGCCAGGCACGCCAGGGAGCTAGCCCTGGCGCCAGGTTTTCCACTCCAGAGGAGCACGCGTGCAAATGCTGACTGCAGAGGGTCCGCATGTCCCACCTGCGTTTTGCAGGCACAGCCCCCGTCCGAGGCGAAGTTCCGCCACGCCTGCTTATAGGTTGCCCTGGCAGAATCCAGGCGGGTTTAGCTCTTCGACCTGATGTTTTCCCGCACAAGCGTTCCTCCACGGAGGAAAAATGCTAAGTCCAGGCTGGCCTTACAACAGGTTATTACAAAAACCCGGGACATTGATATGCCATTTTTCCTTACAAAACGAACTCGGCGTGGCTTTCAAAATGTTCATAAAAAACATGAATCACAGTACAACCCGCCCAAATTACTAAAATCACTTTTGGGTTCATGAAACCAAGAGCAAAGGAATAAAAAGGGAAACAGAATGGTTAAACTATGAATTGTGTGGGGTCTGTGTTAAGGGGTAACAATGAGAATCTAGTTTTTAAAAACATTTGTCCTTTGGACCTGACAGCCTAGCTCTGTCCAGCGCTGTTGACCTTGCACTAACGTGATCAGTGGCATCTGTATTAAACATTAACCTCCCGATAACACTTTATGAATAAGGATGGAATTTACGCATAGGAAGACACTGATGCTGGGGTTGTGATACGGAAAGGAAAGGCGATCAGTAAAGAGGCAGAGGCCGTCTAGAGTGTTCCTCAGAAGGCAGCTGGGGGACACGGGAAGGGCCGGTCCTAGGCGGAGGCCCGGCAGAGCCCGCCTCTGGGGCCAAAGCTGCTCCGTAGGCAGACCGAGCGTGAGACTTGGGTCTGGCAGGGGCCCCCCACCCTGGATGGCCTGCGCAGAGGCTTTGAGTGGGTTGCGAAGCAGTGGGGAGGTTGGACCCTCCTCGAAGGGGAAGCCAATGCAGGTCCTCATCCGAAGAGCACCGGGGGTGGGTCACCTCCCCCGAGAGCTTGGGCTTGTGGGGCAGCCTTCAGGTGTCATAAACGAAAATAATCGGGACTTTGGGCCAGGAAGGGAGCCGAGGCTGAAGCAGACCGGCCCCTACTAAGAGCTTCCGCGTGATCTGAAATGCCAAACCCGAGTCGCCCGGGAGTCACCAGTGCACGGCTGGCCCTTGCGTCACTGCCCAGGGCCAGTGACCCGGCGCGCCTCCCTGCCTCTGCCGGTATGTGTCCGGCCCTCCCTGAGGGTGGTGAGGGGGCAAAGCGCCAGCACGGAGCGTGGGCCTGCAGGGAGGGGGCTGCCAGCTGCCGGGAGAGGACCCTGTGCAGCCCCTCCCTCCCTCCCACCCCTGTGGATTTTTCTGCAGTAAGGAAAAGGGCAGGAGGAGCGGGGGGGGGGGAGGCGCAGGCAGGATGCAGGGGGAAGAGGCTTGTCCGGGCCCCGCAAAAGGCCCAGGCGTGAGCGAAGCGGGACGAGGGCGCAATGCAAAGCTCACCTGGAAACATCCCACACTATTCCACAAATAAGCCCCTGTAGGTGACAGGTGGCTGTGGAGCCTGTGCTTCATTGGCCACAGCTGACAGGCTGGCCTTAAAATGGGCTGAAACGGTCCTGCACAGGCCGCGGGGGGGGGGGGGGCTCTGAGCATCCCCTGCATCGTCTGAGCGAGGGAGATGCAGCTGCCCTGTGGTGCCTCTGCTGCTTGGCGGCCCTGTCCCAGGGAGCCTCCTTTTCAGCACATGTCCAGTCCTGCTTGCAGCCTCAGGGAGTAAAGATCCTCTTCGTTTGTGGACGGCGAAGACATTCATTCCCTCTCTGCTTCTCTTGCAGTTTCTGCTCAGCTTCGGTGCAGCCCCAAGCACAGACGGCCTCCTTGTGGCCCAAGGATGTGGGCATCCTTGCTCTGGAGGTATATTTCCCTTCCCAGTACGTGGACCAGGTTGAGCTGGAGAAATACGATGGGGTGGAGGCAGGAAAATACACGGTGGGGCTCGGCCAGAAGCAGATGGGCTTCTGCGCAGCCCACGAGGACATCAACTCCTTGTGCCTGACCGTCGTGCAGCGGCTGGTGGAGCGGAGCCAGCTCTCCTGGGGCTCCATTGGCCGGCTGGAGGTTGGCACAGAGACGATCATTGACAAGTCGAAGGCTGTCAAGACGGTGCTGATGCAGCTCTTTGAAGACTCGGGGAACACGGACGTGGAGGGCATCGACACCACCAACGCCTGCTACGGGGGCACCGCCTCCCTCTTCAACGCCGCCGACTGGGTGGAGTCCAGCTCCTGGGACGGTAAGCGGCGCCCGTCCCACCAGGGCCTGGCCCGGTGGCTCTCGTGGCCGGGCCGTCCAGGGAGCGGCACAAGTGCGCAGGTTCTCCGGGGCCACCGGCGCCAGTGCCCTGTCGGCCTGCTGCTGCGCGTGCGGAGCGAGGGCCGAGGCGAAGCCGTGCCCTCAGGAGCGAAAGGCTCCACTGCAGCACTGGGGCAGGCCAGGCGCTGCCCAGTGGGCCGCGCTGTTTCTCTGCTGCATCTCCAGCAGCCGGGCCCAGGAGGCAACGACTGCCGGGCAGCCAGCTGAGCTGCCGCAGAGCCCTCCTGTGCACCCCGGGGCTCGCCGTCGCAGAAAGGAGCGGCTGCGTGCGTGAGGGCCACCTGCCGCCCCAGCACTGCTGCTTGCGCCCGGCAGAGACGGCCTCCGCCGCCTGGGCCGATGACCGTCCCGCACGCAGAGCGTCGCAGAGCCTCGCGCGGCAGCCCGCCGCCCCCCGGCCCTCTGGGCAGCTTTCGGTCCCCTGCGGAGGGGCCTCCCGGGGCACAGCGGGAGCAGCCGCCTGCCCTGCCGGCCAGCGACGTCCCTCCTGCGAGCCAGGGCCCCGGCTGCAGAGCCCCTCGAGCGAGCCCTGGCGCCGCTCCTCTGCCGCCCCACTTCCTCCCTGTGAAGAGCGGCATCCCGGCCTGCCCAGGGGCTTATCAGCCTTCTGCCGGGCCAGATGGTGGGCGGCCTGGCGCACTCCCTCTGCCGCTCTGGCCACCCAGCACCCGGCACTGTCGGCCGGAGCTGGCTGAGTCCCGCTCCTCTCTTCTGTTGCATTCTGAGCCGTGTTTTTATGCATCTGTTTTTATGCTCTGTTTTATTCAAGGGTTTTTAAAAAAATAAAAACTATGTTTTATTATTGCTAGTTACCTTGAGTAACGTTTTTGGTGAAAGGACAGGATACAAATCCAGTCCATCACTCCATCAGTCTAAGCAGTGGTGGGTGCAGCCCCCCCCCCCCAGAGCTACTGGAGGGTCCCCTCAAGGCACCGACCTGCTTGCTCCCCGTAGTGGCATTTGGGGGCAAATACCCCTGCTGGGCACCCTGGGGTGGGCAGCACCCCGTGGGCTTGCGCACAGAAAGTGCACGCGATCCAGGAGAAGCCCTTGCGCTCTGCTGGCCGCGTCCAGCGGCAGGCGATGCGCATCCGTGTGCAGGGAAGCGCCCGGCCCGGCCTCTCACGGCCCGCCTTCCTGGGCTCGGGCGGCAAGGCGTGGAGCCTCAGTGCCACCAGAGCCGTCCGGGGACCTTCTTGCACGTAGAGACAGGAAAGCGCACGCCCGGTGTGCAGCGCTGCCGCTGAGTGGGGGGCAGACACAGTGGCCGCGGGGGGGGGGCAGAAGCTGTGGCCCCTCCGTCCCTGAAGGCGCAGGTGTGGGGACCCCTCGGGTGCCCCGGCCATCCTCATCTGTTTGCTCAGGCTGTACCGCATGGGGTGGGTGTTCAAGGAGGGGTGCAGGTCCCCCTCTGGGTGTATGTCCCTAACCACAGAGTTCCGCCCCACAGACTGCCGCTTCCTTGGAAGGCCTGTAAGGGGAGGACCTCCCCCCACACCACAGCTTGGCTGGCTGCAGGAGCCTGGAGCTGCCCTCAGACACCCCTGGAGGGCCGGGCTGGGCAAGACTGCCTGGGGCCATGCAGGCTGCACCCCCCCCCCCTTCCTCCACCTCTGCACTGGCTGGATTGTCAGCTCCTTGGGGCAGGGAAGCTTCTGTGTGAGCATTTGCTTGTAAAGCTCTGTAAAGTCCTATGTAGATGTTCGGGTGGCTGGTCGCTCACAACTCGCTGTCCCTGGCCAGGAAACCAGGACACGGCCCCAGTGAGAGTGGCTTGGGTTGGCCTCCTCACCTGGGCCCTTTCCCTGTTTGCACACCAGGACGCTACGCCGTGGTGGTTTGTGGCGACATCGCGGTCTACGCCACCGGGAATGCGAGGCCAACGGGTGGAGCAGGAGCTGTCGCTATGCTGGTTGGACCCGATGCCCCCCTGGCTTTGGAGAGAGGTCGGTACGAAAGCCTGTCCTCCGGGCCGTAAGCCGTTTGCTGTCCTTGACTGAACCGTGGCATCAGGTGGGATGGTAGTATGAGAACCCATGAGAAGAGGAAAGGACAGGACGGGACGGGACGGGAGGAGAGGAGAGGAGAGGAGAGGAGAGGAGAGGGGTGCTTGGGCTGAAGGGACTGCTGCAACTTGACTTCTGCCTCAGCGTGAGCACTGGGGCCCGTCGCGCTCACGGTGCCAGCATCTCGAGAAGGCCAGGCAGTGCAGACGGCTGTGGCAGGGCTGCTGATGGGGTTCAGGGGAGGCGACGGGGATGATCCAGGGACTGGATCCTTTGAGGAGAGATGGAAAGAACTGGGCATGTTTAGCCTCAGGAAGGCAAGACTGGGGAGAGGTGGGAAAGCACTCTGCGCGTGCTTGAAAGGCTGCCACACGGAGGAAGGCCAGGACCGCTTCTGATAAGCGCAAAGTGCAGGATGCAGAATGATGGGCTCAAGTTGCAGGGAGCTGGAGTCCAGCCAGATATCAGGAAAATGTTCCTGGCTGTTAGAGCACTGCGACGATGGAGCCTGTGGCCTCGGGAGGGGAGCGCTTCTCCACCCTGGACAGCCATCTGAGAGGGATGGTTTAACTGGGAGTCCTGCACTGAGCGGGAGGTTGGGCCCGATGGCCTTCTGGCCCCTTCTGACTCGACTATTCTGTGATTCGATGAAGCCCATTTTGTGGCTTTGCTTTATTGCAAATGCAAAAGAAATCAGGCTACTCAGTGGCAGAATTCCATCGCGCGTCATGTGCCCTGCGATGTGTACAGCAGGCGCATTACACATGCGTGAATGCATGCGTTGAGAGTTGCTGGGCCGGACTGTGCCTCACAAAAGTCTCGCTCGCAGGGAAAACACAGCTGCGCTGCTCTGCGGAGGCCCTTCTCCCACCGACAGCAGCAGCAGCAGAGTGGCCAGCTTTCGATCCAAGACACTGGGCCACAGAGGCCAAGCTTGAGAGCGTGTCCTCCAGCTTCTCTTCTCCCCCAACTCGCTCACACAGCAGCAGCAGCGGCTTTGGTCTCTACCCCAGCTGAGTTTAGGAGGAGTCAGGGCTGGCTTCCCTTGGACATGGGTGGCTTCTGGACAAGGCTGGGGTTGGCTCAGGGCTTGTCTTCGGGGGATGAACAACCAGCCCCCACACGTCCGGGCAGCGCCGGTGTCTGTGCCAGGCCAGGCAGCCTGGGCTAGTTTGCAGAACCACCCGCCATGCACCCCTCCCGCTTCCCCCACCCCGGTCTCCCAGCCGATGCGCCACAGTCCAGTGTGGCAGGCCCCACCTCGCCCCCCTTGCTCGCTGCCATTGGGACCCCTCTGTGCTTTGTTTGGTTTGCTTTCCCCGAGCGCCACAGGCCACCCGTGGCGGCCGCTCCGCCCATGCCCAGTCGCCACTTCGGGGCGAGCCGTCCCCAGCTCTTCCCCTTCCAAAAAGGGACAGGCAGCCCCGTCCATCATGTCCCCCGATCACGCAAGGTTTCTCCCTGCTCTTGAACCCTTGCTTGGTTCCACCCGTTTTGCCTCGGAAACCTGGCCCTGTTCCATCCTCTTCCTCCTGCGGTCAGGCAGCTGGGCTCCAAGAAGCCTCCCGCCCGGCTGCTGGATGAACCTGCCGCTCCAGCCCAGCGTGAGAGGCTGGCGGGCCTTGCCTGCGGAGCAAGAGCCCAGTGCCAGGCGGAAGCGTGTCGGCAAGGATTTTTTTGCAGTCCGCTCTCGGGTGAGGCGGCACAGTGCCGAACGGCCGGGGATGCGCCTGCCCCTCGCTACTGCGAGCGCTCCCTGGCACGCCCCGTGCCTGTTTCTCCCCCCCAGGTCTCCGAGGGACACACATGGAGCACGTGTATGACTTCTACAAGCCGGACTTGGCCTCGGAGTACCCTGTGGTGGACGGGCAGCTCTCCATCCAGTGCTACTTCCGAGCCCTGGACCGCTGCTATGCCACCTACCGCAAGAAGATCGAGAGCCAGTGGCAGAAAGGTCTGTGCGCCCGGGGAGCCGTCGGCTGCGCCTGCTTTGCATCAGCCCTGCCCTCTGGGGGGCCCATTTCCACCCCCACGGAAATGGAGATGGGCCGTATTTGCACCTGTGTGAGATTCTGTTCTGGGGGCGTGGAGTGGGGCTCTCAGATGACGCTCGGCCTTGAACCTCCCCCCCACCCCCCAGCAAAGAGGGCTGACTCTCCTGTCCACCCGGATAGTATTTGTTACAGGGAATTGTCCGTCTTGCAGGTCTGAATGCCGCCAGGTCTTTAGGGACTTTTGTATTGTATTTTTCCTCCCACTCACACCCTCCTCTTTCCCCCCTCACTTTGTCCTTGCCTCCCACTCCTTCTGCTGGAACCTTCTCAGGACAAACCTTCCCACAGTTCGAGACACGGAAGTGCCCGTAAAGATGCTCCGCACGGGTTCTCCTGCAGCTCCCCGTCACCATCGCTTTCGACCAGCCACATTTTAAATGTTCCTAGGTGTTTCTTTGCCCCTACATTTGTTCCTATATTTGGAGAGACACGGAAGGGCAGAACAGCCTGTGTCCTCCTTCCTTGTGGGGCCATTTAGGCTTCCGACCCAAAGGGGAGACACAGGGTCCTTTCTTTGCACCCCAGCAAGCCTCGGGAGGTGTCCTCCCCTCCTGTCCTTAGGCCAGGACCAGCGGCATCTCCTCAGAGTCCCTGGTTGGTAGATGTCGTAAATGCCTGGAGCACCCTCGCTTGAATCCGGAAGGGAGCTCGCTCGCGTGAGCTCCCAGGTTCGGGCTTGTGAGCTCCCTCCTTGGCTGACGTGCCATTCGTGTGGTGGGTCTGTGTGAGACGCGCTCCCCGAGTGCCGGACCGGCACGCGGCGAGCTCCAGCGTGAGTGGGCAGCCGTTCGTCCTGCCCCGGCTTCGCCGGCTCCATGATCCTTCCGTTGCCGGGCGGGGAGCTGTGGGGGCCGAGGGCACACCTTGCAGTGGTCTTCCCATGGGGCCTTGGCTCAGCGGGCCCGCTGTAGGCTCCCCCTTCCTGGAGAGGCGCACACTCAGCACTCTTGGGGAGAGGGGGCCCCGAGGGTGGCGCAGGCGGGTGGTGATGGAGGAGGCCAGTCCCTGCACTCACGGCCTCCCTGTTCTCTCTCCCTCCCGGGGCACGGCTGCCGCGCACTCCCTGCGATCTCGACCTGGCAAACCGGGAGGCAGCTGGGGTAAGCAGGCCCTGCAGCCTGCAGGACTTCCAGTTCATGATCTTCCACACGCCCTTCTGCAAGCTGGTCCAGAAGTCGCTGGCCCGCATGCTGCTCAACGACTTCCTCGCCTCTCCCCAGCGCGACACCGAGAGCGGACTCTACGAAGGCCTGCAGGGCTTCAGGTCAGCCGAGGCGCCTTGCCGCCGGGGCCCCACAGTGGCCCAGCCAGCCCGGCGCTCCCTTTCCACGAGCCGCACGGCGTGGCCAGGCACACGCCTAGGACGCCGGGGGGCGCGGCGTGCAGATCGCCCGACTCCCGAGGTGCCCGGCAACTCCGGCAGGCACTTCCGGCCCCGCTGCCCTGTGGCTGCGAGTGGCAGGGCAGCGAGGGCCTCACCAGCTGTCCCCGGTGCCGCCAGGCCTGGAGCCGCCGGGCACACTGCGTCCGACGTGGCCCGGCTGGTCCGGGTTCGGGCGGCCGGCTATGCCAGGGCGGCTAGGGAGCCCCGCTGCAAGCCGCACCCTGCCGAGGCGGGGGAGAGGGCCGGGGCAGACGCCACGCTCAGGTGCGGCCCCCTCTGAGGCGGCGGGGCTTCAGTTGCTGTGTGAACACAGGCAGGGCCCGGGGGGGGGCACTCGCAGAAGCCCCCATTTGGGCAGGCCAGCCGGCCCCTTTAGATCAAACCCTTGTCCCCGCCTGCCTGGGGGTTCCCTCTGGCTTTGCCACTTCCACAGGTGCCCTCACTCAGGGTAGATGCAAAACTGAGGGACAGGTGGGGCTTCTTGGCCCCCCCAAGCCCCTCCCCTGGGGACCCTGTGTGGACGGAGGGTGGCCTGAAGGGCTGTCCCTCAACATGCGCATTTATAGGTTCTCGGGAACTTTAGGGGGATCATGCCTTGGGAAGGTGAAGCCCGGCCAGGGCTGCAAGGCACCCCCAAACTCCCTGCGGGCCCTGTGGCCGGGAGAGCCTCACGCACAGCAGGCCACAAAGCTGCTGCCTTTTCAGCTTCACATTTGGGAGGCAGGGGAAGCACGTGTGGCCGTAGGATCCTGGGGCCCGGCGGGTGCTGAGCTGAGCTGAGCTGAGCTGGCCGGCCAGCTGTGGATAATGCAGAGGCGCCCCGTCAAGGGGCCACACCTGGCTGGCACTCAGCGCTGGCGCGGCACAGCAGGCGCCTCGGGGCCCCCGCAAGAGAGCGAGCCTGCGGGACGGCACCTGCGCGGGCCGTGCTGCGGGTGACGGTCCACCGCAGGCGCAGACCTGACCGGGCCCTTCCCCCCTCAGTGATGTGAAGCTGGAGGAAACCTACGCCAGCAAGGAGGTGGACAAGGCTTTCCAGAAGGCCAGCCAGGAGCTGTTCCGGCAGAAGACGCAGCCCTCCCTTTTCCTGTCTGCCCGCAACGGCAACATGTACACGCCATCCGTGTACGGCTGCCTCGCATCCCTCCTGGCACAGTAAGTGGCGCACTCCCCGCCAAGCCCCGTCCGCGCAGGGAGGCGCCCCCAGGTGGCTCCCCCTGTGCAGGTGCTGCAGCGCCTGGGCACGCCTCCCGCAGCCACGCACTGGCCTTCGCCCGTGAGCCGCCCTGGCGCTTCTCTGGGGAAGATGCGACCCCGAGCTCGTGTGCGGGTTCCCGCTCCAGCACACCACGTATTGACAGTTCCGCTGGGACAAAACGGTGAAGCCTCGGCCGTTCGCGCTCAGTGGGAGTTCGCTGGACGGCGGAGGCTCCCTTCTGAGCAAACATCTGAATGTCCACCCCGAATGCCGAACTGCAGCACAATCCCAAGGCCAACAAGCCACCTTTCGAGGGCTGCGGGCGACCCAGCAGCACCCCTCTGGCTTCGTGGCTGGGTGTCCCTGTGAGTCGGCATGAAAAGCGGCACACTCGGGGACGGGCCACCTGGGGAGGGCAAAGCGGCAAGCCAGTGCCCCCAAGGCCCTGGCAGCCTGGCCGCCCTGCAGCTCCTTTGCATCATGGCCACTGAACGCCTGGGGCGATGCACAGGCCCCTGGCGGCTCAGCGCATCGCGCGCACCGAGCCGTCTCCGCAGATCCCCGTGCCAAGGAGCGCAGGCGCTGGCGGACGACCCCTCCCTCCTCACCAGGCGGGCCCACTGAAGGGTGGCTCTGTGCTCCCACAGGCATTCTGCCCAGCAGCTGGCCGGCTCCAGAATCGGGGTGTTCTCCTATGGCTCGGGGCTGGCGGCCAGCATGTTCTCCCTGAAGGTGTCCCAAAATTCCGCCCCAGGTGAGTCCCACCTTCTTGCAGAGCTCCCTTTCCCCCTCTTCCTAAGTAGTTTGCTCTGTGGGGAATCCCAGGACCCCTGAGGCTGCTTGCGGAGCCACGGGAGTGCTGCATCTCGGATGCGTTGGTTCTCACACTCCCTTGGGGCAGAGAAGCCTGAGATCAGACTCGGCCCGCATGTTGGGGGTGGCGACTGCGGCTGGAGGGGGGCCTGACCTACTCCCTGCCTCCGTGGTGTGGGGCAGCCTTGTGCGCTTCAGGAGCCGGAGGGAGGCCCAGACCTTCTCTGGAGGGAGCTCCCGGGGCGCTGCATTCGGCCCCTCTCCAGGAGGGCACCTGGAGGGCAGGCGGGCCCTCCGAGTGCTGCCCGGGCTGTGCACGCCCGAGGTGGGGCAGGGGCACCCGGCAGAGCACTGGGCGGGGGGGGGGGCTGGCCCTTCTCATGGGGGCGGATGCGTCTCTCCCACCCAGGCTCTCCTCTGGAAAAACTCGTCTCAAGCCTTTCCGACCTGGGGGCCCGGCTGGACTCGCGGAAGCGTGTTCCCCCCGAGGAGTTTGCGGAGATCATGCAAGTCAGAGAGGACACGCACCACCTGGGTCAGCACGGCTGGACCACCTGCCACGGGCTGGGGAGGAGGCGTCAGGGCGGGCTGCCAGGGTGGTAGACCAGCCCCCGGGACACACAGGCCGTTCGGGGTTTGTGGGTGGCCTGCATGGGACCCGCTGTGGCACGCCCCACCCTGCCCAAACGCTCCAGGTGGCCGGGAGATCCGTCCGGGGTGGGGGCTCCTTGCGAGGTGCAAGTGGGGCCGGATCGTCTGGCAGGCACGGCACAAAGGGCTCCCGGCTGCCCGAGCCACCCGGAGTCACTGGTTACACCTTGCAGGCAGAGCAGCACTCGGTGGGAGAGTTGGGGACACAGTGCCCTCCCTCTCGCGTGCCCTTCCTCTGCCGTGGCTGCTGGTCCCGCTCACTGGGTAGCTCCACGGGGCTCCAGGATGACCCTGCCCGGGCCTGGAACACGTCCGTGACCGGGAGCGAACACGGGGAGCTCCCCTGGGTGTTGCAAAGGGAATCGCCATTGTCCGGAGCCGCGTGAGGCCTCGGCCCTCTCCCATCACGGAATGCCAGAGGGAAGCCGGGGTGCCTGGCCGTGGCCCAGAGGCCTCGGGGGTGGCCGCCCCTGCACTGCTTCTGCGCGCTTAGGCGCCTCTCGCTCCCCCGTTTGCAGTGAACCATACGCCGCACGGGGCCAAGGAGGACCTCTTCCCGGGAACCTGGTACATAGAGCAAGTGGACGAGAAGAGCCGCAGGAAGTACACGCGGCGGCCCCTCTAGGAGAGAGCGGAGCTGCTACCCACCGGCCACTCCCGGTAAGTCAGAGTCCTGGGCGTGAGGATTCCCCGAGGACCCCCGATTGCTAGCTAACACTCATGGCATGATCTTACGGGACCGGAGAGGGTCGCCCGGTTCCCTGGAAGAGCCGGTCGGTGGCCTGCGCCTCGTTTGTGTCCCCCCGGATCCTCCGTGCCTCGTGGGCAGCGGCCGAAGCAATGGCACCGTCACTGCCCCTTCGCGGCTGGCTGCTGGGTTCCCGTTGCACTACTGTTTCCTTTTTTCTTTTTAAATAAGTTTTATTTGAAATTATAATCCTAAAAAAACAAAACTGCAAACAACATCCATCATCAAAAACATCGAGCCCACTGGGTCAGCCCCCACACCCTTCTTTTTCCACTTATGATAACTTTAAAAACACATTTAAATCTATGCGAAGTCCCATTCTCTAGCCAATAATAAAAAGAGTCCCAAGTTTGATAGAAGTCAGTATCTTCTTTCTCCTTCAATGATAAAGTCAATCTATCCATTTCTGCACAGCCCAGGATCTTTTTTAGAATCAGTTCGTTGGTGGGTAATTCTTCACTTTTCCAGTGTTGAGCAAATGCAATCCTCGCCGCGGTGATTGCATGCAAAATCAAATACATTTCTTGTTTACTAGTGTCCTCCGGTATAATGCCTAATAAAAAAAACTTCAGGTTTAAAAGCTAAGGATTTTTGTAACATTTCCTCCAGCCATTTATGTATTTTAATCCATTACTTTTTCACGTTATCGCAAGTCCACCACATATGATAAAAAGTACCCAATTTATGTTTACATTTCCAACATCCATTTGACATATTTGGAAACATCTTAGCTAATCTATTTGGCGACAGATACCATCTATAAAACATTGTATACAAGTTTTCTTTATACGAAGTTGCTAATGTTACCTTGATATTTCTCTCCCACAGCTTTTGCCACTTTTCTAATGCGATATTATATCCAAAATTTTGTTGCATGACTGTTTCTGCCCATGTTTGCTCACGAGGAACTCTCCCATCCCTGCCTTTGCCCCCAGGGCTTGTGCAACCTGTGGATTTGCGTGCAGTGCACCCGCGGCTGCCGCCTCCCACGTCCGCTTTGCTGGAAACATCGGCTGCTTCTCTGAGCACTTCTGTACACTTTGCTGGGTTGGGAAAGTTTGTTTGAGCACAACACGTATTTTGACACCAATGGACGAGGTGTGTTTCTATTTCTCCGAGGTGGGAGAAGGGGAGGCCCGAGGGGGGGCTTCTGACGCCTCCACCCAGGAAGATCCTGGAGCGGCAGAGCCCCTGGAACGCCAGGCCCGCTCGTGTGGCCGTGCTAGCTCTGTCCTCCAGCGCACGTTCCCGCCTCTCCTGGCTCTGTGTGGCCCTTCATTTGTGGCGGCCAATGAATCCGTTCCCAGCTGCCCTGGAAATGTGGCAGCAGCCCAGTAGGTCTAAAACCTGCGACAAGCAGGCAGGCAGGCAGCTGCAGCTGAAGCCTCGTGCGCAGAGCAGAAGCATGCTGCGACCTCTGGCGCTTTACTGCCACAGATACCCCTCAGTGGAGCAGAAGGAACAGGAATGGCGTCCGAAAGAAGCTCATCCAGGCCGAGGTGAACCTGAGCAGCCGCCCGCCGCCTCCCAGCAGCTGCCCACGCGAGCCACAGTTGCAGATTAGCGGAGCACATGTGCCAAGCACTCCCACACGGCCCACCGATGGCCCAAGTCATGCGCCTCCCATCTGGCGACGCCATTCCCACAAGGCCGCTCCCCGGCTGGCGCTGGCCGCCCTCCCAAGGCCGGGGCTTTCGGCGAGCTGGCGGCGGAAGCTTCAGCGTAGTTTGCATCCCCTTCCCCCCGGAAACTCAAGTTACCCCCCTGCACAGAGGACCCCAAAGGCAGTCAGGAGAGGCCCTCGACGCTCGAGTCTCTCAGAGCTGCCCTCTCTGGCTCTGGTTTGCGGAAGGAGCGGCACCCACGGGATGGCGGCCAAGGTCCGGCCGGGCCCTTCGAGGTCACGCAGCTGTGCTTGGCGCAGTGGAGGAAAGGAGCAGCCGGCCAGAGTTCACGTGGGCCGACCTCTCCCCCAAGCAGTATCTGTCGCCCCAGGGTTCCTGTGCTGAAGATGTTTATTGCTACATCTGAGCCTCTGGGCATACGCAGAGTGAGGCATTGAACACTTTCTTGTTTACACCGTTCATTTCCCAAGGCTCTCATGATGAACCCATCTGTGACCCGCCCTCCGGAAGCCAGTCCACCTCCACTCCTCCCCTTGGGCGCCTCCTTGGGCTCCCTCCAAGGACGAGGGCTCCGGGGCGGAGAGGCTTCATTGGAGGGGCTTCCCGCGTCATGGCCCCCTCCTCAGTCTGTAGATCTTCCCCGTTCCCACAGCCCAGGAGACTGGCCCCCCACCTCCCCGGGCTAGTCCTCCCTTCTGGAATCCTCCCTTGGGTCCCAGGGCCTTGAGTGGCACCTGGCGCCTGGACTGCTTCATCATCAGGCGCATCATTGCGAACTGAGTGCTCAGCGCGGGGAGCCCCCCAAGAGCACGACACCACGGCAGTGGGGAGGAGGAGGGCTTGCTCTTAATCCCCGGCCCCGCTCGGAGCTGACGGGCCACAGGCCAAGGGCGCCTGCATCCCCCGAGACTGGAGGGGAGGCTGCCAGGAGCACCTCGCACCGAAGAAATGCAGCAGGCAGCAGGCTGCCGGGGACGTGTCTCCACCTCGCGCCTCAGGGCGCACGTCTGCGAGAGCCAAGCAGATCGGGCCATCTAACCGGGCCAACACGAGGCATGCCCCCCAGGGAGTGCCTGGCCCCGGGGGGCGTGGAGGGCCCCATCCATCCTCCAGCCCACCACAGGCCCTTTGCTTGCCCCAGTGGGCCCCACGGGGAGCTCCGCCAGCACCAGCCAGACTGGGGAGGCCGGCTCTCCCCTCCGGAGGGCCAGCAGCGTTCCCTGCGTCTGCTGCCAGCCCTGCCGCAGTCGCCTGCCTGGCACAGCAAGCCCCTCCGGCGTCGGGCAGCCTGCCTGGGTGGCCCCAGATGGCCGATTCCAGCCTGCGAAGAGCAGCCAGGATGGTCAATATCCGCAGCTCTATTCCATGCCTGGATGGCGGGAACGAGGGTCGTGTGCAGCAGACGTGTTCCCGCAGCAAGCCAGGAGGCGAGGCCACTCACTGCACTCGCGAAAAGGGGCAGAGACACGCCAGCGTGCCCGTGCCTCGCACACCCCTCAGCGTCCCCAGCCAGTGCCGGCCCAAGCACCCCCAAAGCCGGTGCCACACACTCCTCCTACGTGGCAGAGGCGGGGCGGGGGGGGGGGGTCTCGCCATGTTCCCCTGCTTCCAGGTAGCTTTGCTGCCTCGGCGCCACTTGCAGCCTCCGTCCCTCCAGAGCCGCTTACTCCCTCCATCTCCCAGTGCTGTGAGCAGATGTGCAGCTGGAGCCCCCAGGCCCCGCGGGGCGACGGTGGTGCTCTTTCGCTCGCACGCATCAGCACCGCGGCTGATCAAGCCACACACGGCAAGACTCGCTCCGGGCCTGTGGCACCACCCTTCCGCTCCTCCCTCTCCCCAGAGTGTCTTGCTGGCCTAGAGGCTGGCTGGGCTGTTTCTTCCCGTGCAGTGGAAGGAGATGGCACGTCAGCACATCCGGGGATGGAGGTGGCAGCCGCCTCGGGGGGAAAGTGGCCCCTCAGCTGGGAGCCCCACAAGGACAGGGTGGCAGCGCTTGCCCCATAGCAGCAGCCCTGCTGGCTCCTTCCCGGTGTGCCCAGCGGCTGCCCAGGCCCTTGCAGCCCAAGCTCAGGACGAGATGCATCCCGCTTGAAAGCAAGACCCTGGACTGCAGAACGCTGCCAGCACAACTTCAGCCATCTTTCCAGAAGCCTTGCAAACGCGCGGCTTTGGCAGTGACCCGGTTCCAAAGTGTGGGGTCAAGTGGCTGGTGGCTGCTCCACATAGAGCCACACCAAACACAAGCAGCTCGGAGGGAGGGGGAGCAGCTGACTTTCATCGCACCGAAGAAATGCAGCAGACAGAAGGCCGCCGGAGACGCGTCTCCATCTCGCAGCTCAGGGTGCGGCCAACTTTCCACGTGCTGCAGGAGCCCCTCGGGGCAGGGAGAGCTGGCCTGCCGACTCAGGCACACCCCACCCTTGCCGGGAAAGCAGCGCCCTCTGGAGCCAGGGCACGCGGCCATCTCTGACTGGCCTCTCAGCGATGGAGGCCCCCTCGGCGCAGCCTCCGGAGTGGGGGGGACACGCGGGGCTCGAACGAGTTGCGTGGCCGTGCAGCAGCTCCCAGCTCACTTGCCAAGCAGCCCCTTTCCGTGTGCCACCCCGAATGCAGGATTCCCACTGCTCGTCCCCCGCCCCCCCCCCCAGGCAGGACTGCTGCACACGCACAGGACAACTTCTGCAAATTCCTTTTATTGGCAGTGTCGCATTTGCACGGACGAGGCTGTCGGCCGGGCAGGTTCTCTGCCGCACCTAAAGCCTGACTTGGGCGACCTCTGCCACCTGCCGCTTCAGCTCCTGCAGGTCGCGCAGAGGCGAAGACAAGCTCATGACGGCCCACTCCTCCCCAGACACGGTGCGCGAGCGGTGGAACGACAGCAGCTCTGTCTCGGCCTTCCCCAGGAGCCCTGCGGAAAGAGCAGCGCTCAGTCCCCGCGTCCGGTGGGGCCACCTCCGCTTCAGCAGAGCGGAGAACCAGGCGGAGGCGGCAGGCGGAGGGGCACGAGGCAGGCTGCCCAACGGACGGGGGCACGCTCCCCGCGGCCGGAGGGAATCGGGGCCTCCACCGGGCCTCCACCCAAGCCTCCCCGACTGCCAGGAAGCCCAGCCTAACCGCAGATGCCGCCCCCCCCTCCCCTCCCCTCCCCTCCCCTCCCCAGAGCCCTGGGATGCCAGCCTGCTCCCCCGCCCAGCGCCTGGAAGCATCTTCAGCAGCCCTCCTGGGAGCCCCCCCATTCCCCTCCCAAGCCCATCCCTTGTGCACAAGGGGGGAGGACTGGAGCCCTCTGTATGCCGCGGGGAGGGCAGCGCTGGCGGCAGGGGGGGTGCCGTGGAACTTAGCCCCAAGCACCATTTCCTCGGGAAGAGGCTCCGGCATGAGGGCATCCCCAGCCACCACCAGGCGCCGCAGGCCGAGCGGGGGAGGCGCCTCTCCTTACCCAAGACCGTTGGCAGCAGACCGGCCCCAGAGGCCTTGCTCCTGCAGAGCAGCAGCGTGCCGGCGAGCGGGACGGGCTGCTGGAAGGCTGCTCCGCCGAGCTCAAGCAGGACCGGGACGCTCCCCTGCACGGAGCCGGCCAGTGCGGGGGGCACGCCTTGCGCATGGAGCTGCAGCAGGCCCTCCTGCCCACCCGGAGCCATGTCTTTGTGGGCCATGACGATCTGTGGAGAAATGGCGGCACTCGAGTGGGCCTTTCCCCGAGAGACCTGCCCCAGGACTCCCCCTCAAGGCCCCAGCCCAGCAGACCCAGACGCAGTGGGGAGTCCAGCGCCCGCCATGGGGATGGGGGGCAGCAAGGTCAGGGGGGCTCCAGTGCAGCCACACGTCCGCGCTGGGAAGATGGCGGCAGCAGCAGGATCGCGCAGCCATGGATTCAGGCCGTGCCAGGAGAGGACGACCCAGGAAAGATAGATCCCAAGGAGACATCCCACTGGATGGCCCCCCGGCTGCCTTAGCGCCCCCAGACGGACAGGCAGGGATGCGGGGCAGCTCCCTACCTTCAGCCCGGCCTCCTCCGCCAGGAGCATCCCGTTCACAAGGTTCACCTCTGCGGCCGTTTCCTTCAGCAACCCCATCGCCACCGCCGGAGTCAGGTAACCGGCAGCCTTCTGCAAGGCCGAGCCTGGCGAGCAACACAGGCAGTCAGGGCCGCCCAGAGCCCTCGCCGGGCCCCTCCACCCCGGAGGCGGCAGCAGCAGCAGCCGTCCCAGCAGCGCCTGCCCCCCAGCACTCGCCGAGCCACGAGCCGCTGCCTTCCTCCAGCGCGGCTCCTCTGGGGAGCAGGCCCCCAGCCCTGCTCCTCCCTTCCCCAGCCCACGGCTGCACCTCCACAGCTGGCGGACAGACCTGCAGCAGCAGCAGCAGCTTTCCTGGCACAGAGTAAATTACAGGGAAAGCACCGCTCGTTTAATTGTCAGGCTACAGCCAAACAGAAAGGGGCAAAAGCCTGCAAAAAGCAGCAGAA